TTCATATTGTCGGAAAAAGTAACTAGTAATATGAATTACTTTATGTGCAATGGTGGTACTTATGTGCATGTATTCTTCATAATAAGAGCACTGTCTTAAATTTTTATTAACAGACTAAGCTTGTCAAAAATTTGGACTCTGTAATAAAAATATACAAATGTTTGCTTGTTAAACAAACATACTTGAGTAAATGTAAATAATTATATTCCTTGAAAGAAAGTTAAGAACTGAAAATAAGAATTTGAAATTAGAAGAAAGTTTATGATACCAGATTACTTTATTCAGAATTGTCAAGCGATCCAGGCCGTTTGGCTGAGAGTGTATATTATGCGCCTGTTGGTTCGCAAAGTAATTCGTCAAATGACACCTGCATCGGTCTTCGATCTCGAACGAAATTAATAGGTCATATCGCAGCCACGATTCGAAACTCGACCATTAATTCATCGTTTTATAGCTCCGTGACGTAGATTAATTATCCTTTAAAAACGCTATATGGTTTGCCAGTCTCAATAGTGGAAGAAAATTTAAACACTATTGTAGACACATAATTAGAAATAACGATTTGTTTGAAATATTTACTTCAAACACGATCATTGACTAAATAATCATTACACGAAAATATTCTAAAATTAACATTTCGCTCGGAAATCAATTTCGAAAAATCAATATTAGTATAAACGATGATATTCTTCACAAAGATTATTTCCTCTGTAATCGACAAACTCTCTGCTCTCTGAACGATACGAAACGAATTTCCGCTATCATCGACGATACTATGGCGCTTAAGCTCCCGCCTCGCCCCGTTATTTATTAGACGGAAGCACAGCAGGAAGGTGGAACGACATTTATATTCATAACGAAACGGGTTACGTCCCCGTTTCGTGCCGCCAGCAATATTTACCCCCGACAAATATAACGTGAAAATCATTCACCGAATCCCCTGTTCCCTCTGCGCGCTTCCTTTTGCAACCACTCTCATTCTTATTCTCGCGCTTCCTACCATCCGCCATTCTATATCCGCGTTCTCAACGAAGTCGAGGAATTCCGGCAGCTGTTGATTTTTGCCTCGAGCTATGAAAGTAACGCCAGGAGAACTACAATTGTACAATTTAGGAAAATTTCAAAGTAAACTTTTCAATTCATAAGTAAATTTATTTTTAAGGACGATAAACCAAGAGATATAAAGAGAGGACAAGTCGTAAACAGAAAACCTATAAGTCTGATGGATTCAAAGTTAAAAGTCTTAAGTGGAAGCACCAAAAAATTGAAAGGTTAAAGTTGGATCCATCGAGACCAGTTCGACCCAAAAGAGACCGAATTGCCCAAGAAAAGAAATTTCGAAAGATTTTAGTTGTTCGAACTCAAAACCGAAGAAAACAAGAGGAAACGATTTACGTTCGGCTATCCATAATTTTCACAACCTGAACATGATGGTCTCTATTCAACAACTAAGAGGATAATAAAGCGGCAACGAACAGCTAGTCGTATCGGTCGACTGTTAGTAAATATAAAAGAACAACCTCTTTCGCACTCCGTGTAGTTGTATTCAAATAATACATTGATATACTTATCTATGAATAAATTGAATTAAAGTATTCTTCATATTGTTGGGTACAGAATACTAAATGCTAACGTATTCGGTACCTATTGACGAAGTGATTACGAAATACCTACAAGTGTATTCGTGTATTTCCTCATTATAGAATACAAAATACCAGAGTACTCGTCAGTTGATCCTACATATTCAATACAAGGATTTAGTTCTTTAGATTTATTTCAATCACAAAACACCAGAGTATTCGTCAGTTGATCCTACATATTCAATACAAGGATTCAGTTCTTTAGATCTATTTCAATTACAAAATCATTCGATAGTGCTCATCTGTGCATCTACATAGACACAACATCAGAACAGAAAGTCTGATAAGAGTCGGTCGGCGTAAACCTCAGCGCCCCGTTACGATCGGAGATTCTATTCAATCGGAGGATACGTTTAGTAAATCCGACGAAAATTACTCTCGCGGCTCACGTATTAATCCCGGTACACGGCCAATGACCGTGCAAGCGGCAGAGTGCTTGCTCTTCCATTTCGGTAAACGTATCGCGCGGCAAAATCTGCTACGCGGCGTGTTACCGTCCCGCGGACGTAATCACGGTTGTGTGAACATGTAAATCCAAAACGATCCCCCGCTCATTCTGAAACGCTAACATCGATCGCTGGGCGCCCACCGCCGCCGCGTCACGCGTATTTACGTTTCATCCCTTTCAGGAGTCGTTTGATCACCTGCCTCTCTCGCCCTCCGGCCCGGCCACGCGATTCTTGCGCAGAGAAAAAAAATTGCAGAGAGCAGAAACGAAATAAAAAGAAAGAACTATTTTAGGCGACATCGTGGGAAACATTGCCGCCCCGGAAACCATGAGCGTTTATCAAGGGGATCGTGAATTAAATATTCATTGAAATCGATTCGAGTTCCGACCGAATTCTGCGATATGTTTCGCGGAATCGTCCCCCGTTTCGCTGCGAACCGGGCATCTAAGATTCATGAATTTATTCGATTCGTTGAACTTTTATCGTCAAAGCCCACGGAACGCTTACAGGAAATGTTCACTTCGGTTTGTTTATTTAACGACGACACTGACAACGCCCCGAAGGTTTGCTCTGGATTATTAATTTTACGTGAGAGGCTTGTTGGCTCGATGCGCCTGGTTATCGGGAGTTTTAACGAAAGGCATTTGAGGTACATTTTCTTTTAATTGCGATACCGATACGGAACCTAACATTTTTTTTTAGTTTGGAGACGATATGTTTTAAATTAGAACTGTCCCGATGAGCCTTCAGTAAGTAAAAGTGGTGAAAAATGATGGAAAATCATTAATAAGGGAATTTTGTAAATTAGTCCACAAGGATATAATTTTCCGTAAGTGTTTATAATAACACGAGCAATGTTTGTCTCGGTCAAAATACGAGTTTAATAAACTCGATTTTATCCATCTCTGCAAACAGGAATTTTGTAAATGCATCAGTAAAAAAGCAGGCGTTCAGATATATCGCAGAATAAACATTGTGAATTTATAAACATAAATTTATCCAATATCCGTGTTCCTTTGCACAAACAGTTATATACACACTACATCCGGAACAATATATTGCCGTAGAGTAAACTGAGCCAGTAGATTGAAATATGTTTATTTAAAGACATGCAATAAATCATGATATGTTGGACAGAACTTTCAAGTTTTCAGTGTCTGCTCGTGAGAAAACGAAATATCAAGCATTTCAATGTGCACTGCAACAAAATGTCAAGCTGGAAAACTAGTTGCATGAAACAACGTTATTGCTTCGACTAATTATGCAGCGCCATGCCCGTAGTTTCCCACAGGTTGAAACAATATTTATATGTACACTGTTTATCGATAAATAAGTAGATCAGTAATTAAATGAACCAAGGAAACAGATACAAAAATTCTAATAATTTTGTATACTGCTTTATAAATTCGAGGCTAATGCTCTGAAAATACTTGTAGTCTTCGATATTTCTTCATCAAAAGGTGCTTAACATTTCATTTTTTATGAGAATAAACTTACAAAAAAAAGAAAATTACTATATAGCAATCGTTATGTAAAGTCACTTTATCTTCTACATTAATTAAGAAAAACAAGGACGGAATAATTGTTCCTACAGATTTTTCAAGCTTTCTGTTCCCTCCAACGAATTTATGATCTATAACTAAATCGTAAGAAAAAGTAAAATTACGACCTGTACTATCAATAAATAACCTTATAATGAACAAGAGAGTTAAGCAAAGTTTCAAATGAAATTCGCTTGGAATTATCTTAAATTGATGTCCAATGCCATTTGCTTAATGCTCGTGATTCCCAACGGACAAAGACAAGGAAAACATATTAAAATAATAAAAAGTTCCCCGTGAAAATGCATCCTGGTGAAACCATTTCTGTTTCCAGTGCGTTCCAACCGGGGAGTCCGCAATATTCTGCATGATTTTACAATTATGAAGAATTTATGCAAGACGTAAAGCGGACACGGTCTTCGCGACTTTGCGCGTTAAAGTCCATCCGCGGGAAGGGTTCCAGGGCCGAACGACTTGCTTGGTGCCGCAGTTACTTTTAATTAGACCGCTTGAACGCTTTATCTTCAGGCGTTTAACGTTAGAGGAGAACACCAACTTAGCAGCAATTTTTACCCATTAAGACCAAGGAAGGAGTCCCATGAGACACGTTCCATGGAAAAGACCAAAATTTCCGTGCACTCGCGACGGTTTCTACGCTGTATCTACCCTCGAAATTATTGGCGTATTACCTGCCTCTCTCTTAAAACTCGATATTTTACTTGTAAAACACGGGGGAATGTATATATTTTTGACATTATCGTTAGAAGAACAGGACGAAGAATTACTGCAGTGGCGCATTACACGACTGTCTCTTAAAACCCAACGCTTTACTTGTCAAATATAAGACAAAATATGTTCTTGGAAGTAATGTTAATGCAACGAAACGAAGAATTATTGTAGCTAGAACAGGATACTTTGTATGCATGTACTTCCTTTGTGTGAGAATTGTTATAGACAAAGAGTTCTAGCATGTTCCTATATTTTTTTTTGGAAATTAATTAGTGCATTTCATACCAGATGTTTGGTGTAAGTAAAATGTAATTCTAGATAGATAGAAAATGTTATATTCAAGAATATCTGTTTGTGTTCGAATATAATAAAACAGTACTAGAATTTTAGAATTTGGATCTTCAGTTTCTATTAACATTAGCTGTTGGTATTATTTACCTTGACTTCGTGCTCAAAATATTGCGTGAAATATTTATTTATTCCTTCGCGAATATATTAAAGTCGATTAATATTTTTTTTTGCAAAAACGAATCTGAATACGCTCGTTCCGTTGATCAATAGAACGTGCAGAGAATTGATTAATTAGTGTCTTATTCGAATGTCTAATGCTTGAATATGAAATTTCATTGTATATTACTCACCCTTCGACTGTTGCCATCCTTTGGGTTCAAGCTGGGCTCTGTTGTCACCGTACCGAAAATAGTAGGCTGTAACAAAGATAAATTTCATTTTAATACATCAGAACACTTTTTAATCTCAAAAACAGTCTGATACGATTGGTTTGAGGCCAACGAAACTATGAGTTTATTGTTTCACATAGACACCGTTTACTTAGATTAACTATAACAATATGACAAATAAATCGTAATAAATATAAAATGATCAATATATATATATATTCTGAAATACCCACAACAAAATTAAAAATTATAAATAAAAAATACGATACCCCGAAATATTTACATCAATCTTTCCATTTTTAATTACAATTCACGTTTACGCATCATTTACGTATTCTGACAAAATATAATTAATATACAACGAATATAGATATATCTTGTCTAGCATTTATTAAGATTTAGGTTGTAAAATGCACTCCAGCAAAAAATTACACTATCCTTCTTTCGATGTAAAATGAAGAATCACTTTCAACGTTGGCAGGATTCATTATTTGTTAAACATAAATTATCTATTCTATGTTTCGAGCTTCTTTTTTCTGTACCACCGTGTCTATGTAATCTCTCTGTAACAGGGACAGAAATTCACGAAGGAACAAGTCAATTAGAGGACTAGAATTGTAGCTGTCCGTTATTAGAAGGAAACGATTACATTTGCCAGCTTTTAGCCGAGCGGGAGTAGCAGCTTTTTGACGTCGATCGACGAGCTGTCAATTCCAAATAGAGACATGATTTTCCCGCGTGAAATCGTCCGGATGTTGCGCGTAAAACTACGAATCTCGAAACGCGGCTGTAAAAGCTGTCGCCTCGTAAATCTACGGGATGCCATGCATGCAGTCCGCTGGCTGCAGTCAAGCCATTAACTGTCCCTGACCGAGAAAATGCGTTCGATGTTACAACGAACATGAAAAAACAGAGTATTCACGGTAACTAGAAATAGCAGTTGCACTAGTAGTTCCGTCAAAAAAAAATTGAGAGAAGAAATGATTGAACAGCTCCAACCTGACATCTATGGAAGCAGTGGCTTATTTACGTTTTCATTTTTTGTTTTCAGGAATAACAATTTCTTACGTATTGTAAAATACACTACGTAGGTTGAGAGACCGTTGAAAAGAGTTCATGATAATAAACATTTTCTAAGGAAGGTTTCAACAATTCCTTCAGAATCGTTTAACTTTTTACCGAATTCATTTCCGCGGATATCAGTTACTTAATTACTTATTTGAAGCTCTCTTTCGAAATTACGAACCAAACCGCAAAGGTAGTTAAGATGTAACATAAAGATCGAAGAAGATGATGGGGATGATGGCATCGGATCGTATCTAATTTAAATCAGCCGATCCCAGAAGAGAATCAATCCAGTCCACGCGGAAATGGACGTGATAAGGCGCAAGCATCTCTTCAGATCAGTCGATAGTTCCCCGTGTTTTAAACGGGGGAATGATCCTCCTCGACGAAAATAGCGCAGCTCGAAGCGTTTCGATCGACCGAGAAACGGACCAGAGATCCATTAAACGTACTTTTATTCCTGAAATAACAGTTCCAGGACGGCCATTTTCTTGAACGCCTGCGATATGCTAGGATTAAATAGCGCACGACAAATAGTCCGGTACACTCCTTTCCACGGGCATGGACCGAATGTATCTTCGGGATTTACGGGTTGCGCGGCAATGAAAATGGAAATTTATCAAATAGAAGTTGAGTTTACGCCGTTTGTACGACATTAGACAACCGAAAACAGGAATGAAAGAAATGAATGGAGACTCGCGGTCAAAGCTTTGCGAAAGTTATTTCTTTTTGTAATGGAAATTTAACTATAAACTATAAATAGATAACAAGGATTTTGTTCACGAATAATGAACAATATTTAACTCGCTAAATTAAAGCAACTTGAATGATTCTCGTCTATGACGATTAATATAATCAAAAGTTGATCAATTAATGCAAATGAACATGAATTGACACAATATTGACACTGCGATAATTTTATTTTATTTTCTTTAATAATTACTGTCAATTCACTAAAACGTATAGTACGCTATACCACCACCGATTCACTTTCTCCATGACGAAGAACAATTGTTATTTCGCAGTAAAAATTGTCGATTGGGTTTTGTCGCAAGTATCCACGGTAGTTTTTGAATCGACCATGCGTCGCCGACGAAAAAAGGAAAGCTGAGCGCAAACCGAAAACACAACGTCGAATAAACAATCGTAGGTTTGTTCCGTTGAATCAATATTGCATTTCACGGAGATAAATGTGGCCGGCGTTGGATATTCAGCATTCTGCACGGTGAATCGAGTTCACAGTTATGGCATGCACGTTATAGCAATCATGGAAATTAATTAAATCTCCGCGACACGTTTAGCAGTATTTATCCGTTGTTTGTATGAACTCCATGATGTGCAGCCCCCTCGATCCCATAAACATACGTCCAATTACACGAGACTGAAACAGGATTCGTTGTAACCGTGAAAATGATACACATTCGCTGTAACAGTAATTATTTCTGCTGGAACGATAAAAAAGAAAACGACAAATTCCTCTGTAATAATTATACAAATTATTTATTGGATGGAGTGAAAATTAATTGAAGTAAAAGTAAAAGTAAAAAACTTTAAAAGCTTTAGACTTAACGAATGATTATGTAATGTAATAAAGGCTTTGACAAGTATCTCAGAATTTTTTTTCAGATTTTTTGCAAGTCTAAAACAGTAAGAAAATTATACTTGGTCATAAACAACCCAGTGTGCCTATGGATCATGAGAAAATATGGTTGACTACGGAGCGTTAATATACTTGCGATTTCAGATATGGAATTCTCTGCGAATCTAACGGAGGACAGAGCTGTCCGAAGCGTTTCTCGCTGACAATCTTCTATTGTCGTGCATGAAAGCACGAAAGGTAATTGCAAGCTACAAGCCCCGAGAGGAATCGATACGAGCGTCTTGAAGGCATAGGAACTCACTCAAAGTAATTGTTATCAATATGGATAATGTAGCCTGGGCTCGAGGACACGATCGGACGGGAGAAAACCGAAGGAAAAACGTAGTAAAGGGGAACATCCCTTACCAATACAACCTGATATCAATGCCCAGGAATTCGAATAGGAGATATTTTTCCTAAGATTGTTATTGCAGCCATAAATACGTAGAACATATTTCTAGAGTTACAGAAATTCTTCAACACAACCGATAAAGGTATGTTTTGTATTTTTAATGCAGATTTCGAATAACTGAATGTATTGTTTTAAGTAATTTGTGATTACTCTGCAAATTCTATGGACTTGAAGCAGATACGAATTTTTAAAGTACAATAGAATGAAAATTTCATGCAAATTTACTAGATAGAGATACAAATTTAAATAAATTTCGGTTCAATCCTTTTTCCAATTCGCTGGCAGTAGCTACATAGAATAACTGAAATATTGGGGTAAAAAAGTCATTCCCAGAGATTGTATTGATACATGTAATTTTGGTTTCATTGATTTCTATATTCGGCTTTTAAAGATATTTTTTTTTTAATTTTACAGTTTCTAGGTACAACAATTTTTGCATAAAAAATCAATTACAATATTTCACTAAATTCTTCCATTAAAATGCATCACAGAGTATAATATTAAATTATTTTGATTGAGATTGATTTGCTTTCTTTTCATAGACAACAGAGGCTTTTTATTTACTAATCGAGAAAAGTGATCTACTATTTTTCCTGATAAAGCCACGATTTTGATAACAGTCAGGCAGTAATTTATAACAGAACAGTCATGTAAGACGGAGTCAGAGGGGAAAAACAAATCGAATCGCGCTGCGGAACATCCGCAACACGGAATTCGCACTGAATCGTTTCTTCCTTATCTTTATCCGCTTCGACGGATCGGTCAACAATCGCGTCCCTGATTCAAAAAGCCGATGAGCAAAATGGTAAAGGTATTCGGTCAGCTTTCCCGATAAAATTTCTTCACAGACGTACTCCGTGCATTTCCTCTATCTTTTTTCGATTCATTTCTTCACCCTAAACGTTGTACTTTATTTCTAAAAAAAGAAGTGATACAGAATTTTTTAGAATCGTAATTTTATTATTTTGTTCTCGATTGTATTGTCTGAGGTCGAATAAATAATCGACTAAAAATAATTAAAAGAATTCTTTTTCGAGTACTTTTTAAGGGAACTTTAATCCATTTAGTTTTTTTGTAAATTTCAATTACTTATTGTTACCGAATGCGACAGCCGAAAAGTCAGAACAGTTTCCGTGAAATTCACACCCAAAGAAAATTATATAAACGAAGCAAGGGATATCCTCGTTATCAGTATCTGTCCAATTTCGAAGATTTCCCTTTGTGCGACGTTGACATCGCATGTACAATAGAAAACTGCTCCGCGGTAAAACGCAGAGAACAAACAAAGGCAAATAATCGAAAATCTGCGGTGGGGATTTTGGCTCGGAGAGGCAGATACTTTTTACGGGTGGAAAACTCACTTTTCGAAAACAAAAGTTAATCCTGTTTGCGCTGTGTCTAAAAGAAGTGACAATAACAAACGAAAATTTCTGCACCAAAGTTCGTCTGTCAATAATTTGTAAAATGATTTGGATTCTTTTGAGTTGTCTAAGACACAATTTAACAGTGAAAAGCATTTTTCACGGATCAGACATTCAACGCAGATCCTTTTAATTGTAACTTTTCATGGTGTACGGTAATCAAAACAGTTGTAGGTAATGTTATCTGTGCTAAAATGTACTATTATAGGCCTTAATCGTTTTCATTCTATAAATTAAATTGATTTGTCGAAGCTGGACGCAAAGAAAAATATATATGCCATGTTTAAGGGTTTCAGTAGCTTCGAAATAAAAGGAAACCCTAAATAAACTTCCCGAAACTTTTTACTATACTGAATTTTAGACAATTGGGTATTCTATAAATGCATAAAATCTGCTGTCATCGTTATTAGTACTTCTAATGATTGCCAGAAAACGAACTCCATAATACTATCACTGAATAAATGGCGTGTAAACTGACTTTGGAAACTGA